CCTCCCCCGCCAGCATGGTTGCCCCTTACTGCCCCCCTGCCAGACTGGTCGCCCCCAACACCCCCCCTCTGTCAGCCTGGTTGTCGCCCCTCACAGCCTACCCCAGCCAGCCTGGTCACCCCACACAGCCTGCTGTTCAGTCATTTGGTCATCCCTCACTAACCCCCTGCGGCCTGGTCACCCCACACAGCCTGCTGTTCAGTCATTTGGTCATCCCTCACTAACCCCCTGTGGCCTGGTCGCCCCACACAGCCTGCTGTTCAGTCATTTGGTCATCCCTCACTAACCCCCTGCGGCCTGGTCGCCCCACACAGCCTGCTGTTCAGTCATTTGGTCATCCCTCACTAACCCCCTGCGGCCTGGTCGCCCCACACAGCCTGCTTGTTCAGTCGTTTGGTCATCCCTCACTAACCCCCCTGCAGGCCTTGTCGCCCCACTCAGCCTGTTCAGTTGTCCGTTCGGTTGCGATGGCCCCTGGCTCTTTATATATATAGATTATAATGCAAATAGGCTTACATTAAAATCAGACTCCCTCTCCTACAAATAGAGTCTATGCAGAAGAAAGAAACAACCCAAAAATAAATTGGAAGATGTCTCAAAGTACACCCAGAAAACTCCTATGCAAACAACAGGGAGTTGGGCATTGATCTTAAGAACCAATTCTCTCAATAACCACTGTGACTCTCTATGTAGTTCATTAAATGGGGATATTTTATTTTTTTGAGAAAAAAAACTGTATTACTTTAGTGGTATTTAAGTTAAATAGTTCTCTATTCCCAAAAAAGCTGGAAACTCAGCTGGTGCTATGGGAAGAAAGAAGCAAAAACTGAAGCTTAGTGGTAAACTCCATAAGGAGGAAACTGAGATGTCTTCAATACTACAAAATTTAACAGAGTGCATAAAGTAGCAACTTGATTGTTTTGGATTTTGCCTGGTGTTTAAAGAGTGTTTCGGAGAAGAAAAACAACTTTACAGATCAAGATTCAAATATTGTTTACTTATACGCTAAAAAACTTGGGCTAGTTATGTAATGTCTTTGAGCTTCCAGTTCCTCATCTATAAAACGAGGTAGATATTGTGAAGATTAAATTAGGTAAGTGAAGGGCCAAAAAAAACATCTGTCATTCAATAAGAGGAAGTTCAGTAAATGGAGCCTATTATATCGGCATCATCAGAGATAATGAATTCTTACAATTAGTTATTTTATATTAAGTGTTTCTACTAGTCAGGTCCCACTAAGTCACTGATTATCACAGATCCAGTCACTTTTGTAGCATAAAATCTGTACTGGAATATGCAATCTCTACTTCCTCTTATGAATGTCTGGAAATGTTTCCTGGAAAGGAACTGCAACATAATCAACAGGTCACTACATTTCTATAACTCTTCTAACCTTTTATGTCCAACTGAGGGTGAACAAGCTTCATATAGACGTGGGCCTGAGTGAAAGGGAAATAAGTTTGTCTAAATTGTTTAATAAGCTCCACCACTCCGAACTTCTTTCAGTTGAATGTCCAGGATTAGAAAGCAAAGTACAATTCTATGTGAAAGTCATGTAATTATAGTTTATGAAGATAGAAGAAACATCAAAGTGTCACCATCAAGAAAGACAGGAGGGTAGAATATTGAGTCGAAGTATAGCCAATCAAAATCTAAAAAACATAGTAATAAGAAGATTTAAAATAATGCATGCCCAAAACTAAACAATTTTCCTATTATTTGAGTCACTCTAGTAAAAGCTTTTTGTCAAATACTCCTGTAAGAAAGGTGGATATTTCTTTTCTAAATTATAGAAATGTTATAGCTTTAACGTTGCATGTAAGGAACAAACAAGTTGAAGTACAAAGAACCCTGTTTTAATCCCAGATACCTGTCAGAATTTTAGTTCTGGCTGTCAGCAGCAGCTCACCAAGTGACCTTTAACAAGTCACTTTCCAAATCAGAAACTCAACCTATAAAGAAATAGTCCAAATTTGCTTTAAGAACACATCCAACTCAAATATAAAGTTGTATGAAATATAGCTGAGTATATCTCTTTGATAGAAGCATGTCATCTAAAATGTGATAGTCACAGCCTATATGAAAAACTATCCATATAGGATGACTGTTGTGTTAACTTTCTCTGGCACCAAATATTGCTTTCTTCATTGTTGCTGTTGATTTTACTATTTATAACACAAAAAAATGGTTAACATCTGCTTTTATCCATCTGTCAGTAGCTTTAACCCTCATAAATCTTAAAATAGCTTTTCATTTAATCTGATGTTTTATAAAAAGGTAGACTTTTCCTGTTTTCAGCTAGCAGTTCTCACAGAGCGTTCAGTATCAGAGTAAAAAGAAACCATGTTATCAGTCACTTACTGTCTAGTGAATATAAATGTAGCCTGTGCCATTTACTAAAAGGTTTACCTGGGGTCAGATGAGGAGAGTACAACCTGGGAAGGTAAACACCTTCTATATTCAGAAAGTTTCCTGAAGATTGCCAAATTATTTATGTTTAACTGGAATGTGTTCTAAATGCCTCGGGTGTATGTACTACTATTGAAACTGGCTTCAGTGAATCCTACAGTATACTTGGTTTTCATGTGAGTCTCCTGCAGAGGAAGTGAAAGAAAATCAGGAGCAGCCTGCATCTAAACAGGAAGACAAGCTGACCAAATGCCTTTCTGCTCTAGAGGATTCATTTGCCTCACTTTTTTTTAAAGAGTCAAAATTATTTTGATGATTTTTAAAAACTGCTATAATATCTACTAAGAAGTACATATTTTTTGTAGTGCTGTATGTTTTTAAATCAGTGTTAACTTCTAATGCACTATGTGAAGCTACCAGTAAAAGAGGCTAGTTTGCCCTAATTTAGGAAGCTATTCTAAAATAAGTACAAATTAAAATATATCCATCTGCAAAGCAAAAACCTTTGAGCTCATGCTTTCCAATCCTCTTTTGATCATAAACCATTCCAAGTTTGCAATCTGTACATTCATCATTTTAGTTTCCAACTCAAAACTTTCTGATTCTTCACAATTAGTACTCCTCATAATAAAGAATTTAAAAAATACATGTTATGTTTGATCTGTTTAGTTAAAACTTTGTAAGAACCTTGCCCCTTAATCCAAAATAAACAAACAAACAAACAAACCTAAAGGAGAAAAATCCTATATAATAAAAGGCTAATATGCAAATTGACCAAACAGCCAAACGACTGGTCACTATGACATGCACTGACCACTAGGGGGCAGATGCTCAATGCAGGAGCTTCCCCCTGGTGGTCAGTGTGCTTCCACAGGGAAGTGCAGCTCAACCAGAAGCCAGGCTCATGCTGGCAAGTGCAGCTATGGTGGCGGGAGCCTCTCCTGCCTCTGCGGTAGCACTAAAGATGTCTGACTGCCAGCTTTGGCCCACTCCCCATAGGGCGGGCCTAAGCCAGCAGTCAGACATCCCCCGAGGTCTACTGGACTGCAAGAGGGTGCAGGCCGGGCTGAGGACCCCCCCCCCTCCTCCAGTGCACAAATTTCATGCACCAGGCCTCTAGTAGTAAATATAAAAAATTCTGAATGGATCCCAACACCATCAGAGAAAATAACCACATCCTCCAGGAACAGTGACAAAATGACACCATATCACTTTCTTTGGAAATGTGCACACATTAATAGGGTTTTACATAATTAAAGTAGATCCATAAATAGTTAAGATCATTGTCTCCAAAGGAGACTACTATGCATTTAAGTCCTGAGTCAAGCTTAATACCAATAAACCTCTTACAGGAATTGGAGAAATAGGAAAAACTCATACGAGAAAAAGTAAGTGACTTCCTAGTCCTCTGTTCCTACCCTAGTGAATTGATGCAAATGATCATAGCTCTTATTCTGGTATCCCATGTTCAGTTAGCTCAGGTCAGTCGGCCTACTGAGCACAAGCTGTCAAATAGTCTGACAAGTTTTCTGGAGTACCTGCTATGTGTAAGGATCCCCAAGAAATACTGAGATCAGTCTGCTAACAGTCTCTTGAGAGAGAGATAGTAGACCAATACAGAGACTAACGTATTACTTAATGAAGTACTTCAAAGTGGATTGAAGGCACACATAGGAAAGAAGCAGGGTAGACTTAACAGAGAATCAGCATTTGAACTAGATGAGGGAAGGGTGGTATGGGCACAGGTAGCCTATATTTGGCTAGTGTAGACAGAAATTCCAGGCAGAGAATGAGGAGTTACAGGAACAATGGTCTGGAAGAAGGAAAAGTAGGAATATTACAGGGCAACTTGAACAGTGATAACAAAAGAGACTGAATGTATAGCACAGTGTTTTACAAAATGTTTTGATATCCATTTCTTGAGTTAACTCTCATGACAAGCTCTTGTATTAGGCATAGTAAATATTATCTCCAATAAACAGATAAAGAAACTGAAGCTCAGAAATATTTAGTGTTTTCTCTGAGTCCTTAAACCTAGTTAGTGGTAAAAAGGAGATGTGTAAAACCAGGTTTCACAAGTCTAGGTTCAAGTTTTTCCCCTTACAAAGAGGTTAGACTGCTGAAGTTCAATTTTATACTCCAGGGGTCCTCAAACTTTTTAAACAGGGGGCCAGTTCACTGTCCCTCAGACCACTGGAGGGCCGGACTATAGTTTAAAAAAAAAACTATGAACAAATTCCTATGCATACTGCACATATCTTATTTTGAAGTAAAAAAACAAAACGGGAACAAATACAATATTTGTATTTGCATGTGGCCCGCGGGCCATAGTTTGAGGACCCCTGTTATACTCCAAGCTTGGTTTCAACTTAGATATACTCTTTAATGTATCAGTAAACTAGAGCAAATATTATAAAATTCTAGAAGGAACTCAATTACTGAAAAGATGCATAGCAGACCAAAAAAGAGATGCACAGCAGAATAGACAGGGGAAAAGGTAGCCTCTTTTTCTATTTAAAATAGCAAAGAAAATGACAGTTATATTCCACACTGTCAAGTAAGTAGGAATCAGAAGTACATGAATTTCTTACCTCCTTTCAATTGCACAAATCCTTTCAACATCTGCTCCCCACATTTGGGGAGAATACATGAGGAGAAACCATAAATAGGGATCAAAAAGAAAACAAAATAAAAATAGAATTCTGATACCCAGACATAAATAGCTAAATAAAACCCTAGTGTCTGTTACACATTCTGCAAGACAGATATCATGTTTCATTTAGTTATCAATTATTAAATAGAAAGTAAATTAAGAACCTCAAGACAGTCTATGGGAGACAGGTGTCCTTTAGGTTCTAAGTGCCAATGAAAATTTTACATTACATATCCAGAAAGGTTTTATAACAAAGACCCTACTCAGTCAACTGCCCTAAGTATTTCAGCAATGTCTCCTTCAGTTCTATGGTCATCAGTATACACCTATTCTGGTGAAATTATTAGAATTACACCCTTTTCACTCACACAGTGTTCGAGTTTGACCCACAAATTATTTAATAAATCTGCCACTAGCCTCAGTGGTTAGCCTACTTTGGGAGCTTGAGAGCCTTTGAAACTACGTTTTTGGAATTCAGAGATGTTAAAAGCATGATAAAATGGATTCTATCAATAGCTCCCTAACCCTCTTCTAAATCCCCAGTCTGTCTCCTCCAACATACACAGGGCCAAAATTATCTCTCAAAGATAACTTTGTGGAGCTTTAATGGGGTAACTATACAAAGAAAAGACAAGAAATGCTTTGTGGGTACACTAAAGCCTAATTTGAAATAATGAGGTCTGACCATGGAAACCTGGGAAAACAATAGAAGCAGACATGTCAAGTTAGACTCCAGCAATCACTGACAGGATAAGAAACAGTTTGTAGACAAAGCCTGAAAGTGATTTGTAATTGCAGATATTGAGCATGAACAGTCCTTTCCAGAAAAGCTGTTGGCCCACATGTTAGGCCAAACTCACAATGTACAGATGGGAGGATGGGGATATTAATCAAGTTCCTTCTTTCTCTTTCTCTACTGCAGGTTTCCCATCTAGACAATGATTTTCTGACAGTATTTGCCAACCCTAACAGTCTATATTTTATAGAACCTCATGATATGAAAAAGAAAGCTAGTATTTTAAAATATTTGGTGAGAAGGTGCTACTCAAAAGTTAATGAATAAAACACTTAAAAATCATGGACTCCTCTATAGAGTCAATAAAGAAAACAAAATTTGTTGATGATGAGGGAGTGAAGAGGAAAAGATCTCCTTATAAGTCATTCACGGTTTTTACCACATGTAGTTAAAAGTCCTAGAGTCAAGTTAATGGAAAGTGACTCAGCCTTTATGACTCATTAGAAAAATAAAAACCAAAAATGCCCAGTGGAGACTCCCCTGGTATTTGGTCACTGAGGAACTGTATTAGGACTGAACTGAGCATTACACACAAGCCTCCAAAGTTTGGTGGTAAATAAGCCTAGTTCCTTCTGATACAAGTTTCCCAGAAGATGAAGTGACACCTCATTCACGCAAATGTCAAGAACACATTCTGAAGAGAGTTGGTAATAACTAACTAATAATAATAACTAAAAATCATAAGCAAACTTTTTTAAAAAACTGAATCTGTTTACTCATGCACATCACTCATCAAACGCCAGTGTGGCACACTTTTACTTTACATAAGATTTCTACTCAGTTCATCAATTTTGAAGGCTCTAGAAATATATATATAGAGTATAAATTTCTTCTTCTTAAATAAATGTCTATACTTTTATAAGTCACTACAAAAATAAAATATACTATCATAAAAGTTCTATCAACAGTAGTCCCCACCAGCACTACTCTATTAAATAAAACATATAACTGATGCTCACACAGTGATAACTGAAATATCAAAAAAAGATTAAATGAGGAAGATTTTTTTTTAATTTCATTGAAAATGGTTTAAAAGAAAACATATTTTGCACAGACAGTGTGGCTCAATGGTTAAATGTCAACCTATGAATCAGGAGGACAAGGTTCAATTCCTGGTCAGGGCACATGCCCTGCTTGTGAGCTCCATCCCTAGTGGGGGGCGTGCAAGAGGCAGCCAATTGATGTTTCTATCTTTCTTCCTCTCCCTTCCTCCCTCCAAAATCAATAAAAACATATTTTAAAAAGAAAGAAACCATATTTTTCTATAAAGTACCAGATTGTAAAAATTTAATGTTTGCTAGTCACAGGGTCTCTGCCACAATTACTCATCCAGTCTTTGTAGCATGAAAGCAGCCATAAACAGTACGTACACAAATGACCAAGGACATATTCCAATAAAACTTTACTTGTAGGCACTGAAATTTCATATCATTTTCACATGTCACAAAACATTATTCTTCCTCTTTTCAATCATTAAAAAAAGTAAAGACTATTCTCAGCTCACCTGCCTACTTTACAAAAACAAGCAGTGGGTGAGCTGAATTGGAACAAGGGCCATAATTTGCAGATCCCTATTTTAGGGGAACAGTTTTCAACTACTAGAGGGGAAAAATGTCACCCCTTTTTTTTAAAACATTGGCACTGTAAAATGTTAATTTAAAGAAAAAGACCCCAACAATACAAAATGCGGACAAGGATGCAGAGCAGCTGGAGCTCACATACATTGCTGGTGAGAATGCAAAACGGTACAGCCACTTTGAAAAACAGGCTGGCAGATTTTTTTTTCTTATTTATCTTTATTGTTGAAAGTATTACAGATGTCCCCTTTGTTTTGTTTTGTTTTTTTCCCCCATTGACTCTCTTCCCCCCAAGACCTTTACACACTATTGTCTATGTTCATAAATTACCTGGATAATCTCCCTTCCTACCCCCTACCTTCCACTCCCCCACCCCTGTCCCATCCCAGCCTTCCCTCTGAAATTGGAGCTAAATATACACTCACCCCTATATCCATTAATCCCACCCCAGGTGCTTACCCAAGAGAAATGAAAACTATGTTCTCGAAACAAACACAAAACCGTATGCAAATGTTTACATCAACTTTATAACCACCAAAATGTGCAACCAACCACTGAATGGATAAGCAAATTGGCAAACTGTGGTGCAGTCATACACTCAGCAATAAAAAGGAACAAAATTACTAATACAACATAGTATCAGATATATCGCACTGAGTGAAAGGGAGCCAAACTCAAAAAGCTACTTTTGTATGATCCCATTTACTAGTGTATGATATTTTTGCACAGGCAAAACTATAGAGCAGAAAACAAATTAGTGGCTGGCAGAGGTGGCGGGGGAGTTTGGGGGCTATGTAACTGTTCTATATATTGATTGTTGTGGTGGTTACAAGACTATTCATCTGTCAACCCCAAAACGATATACTAAGAAGGATGTATTTTTATTGTATGTAAATTATACCTCAATGAATTTGACTAAAAAAAAAAAAAGAAAACAACATTGATTTATAAATAATACTGGTTATACAGTGGTTCTAGTTTATAAGAAAGTTTTCAGTTTTTATGAGTGTACAGTTACCAACTAACTGTAATATGCATACCTACATACCATAATGTGTGTATATGTGTGCTTTTTAATGGAAACTAACATTTACTTAGTACCTACAATGTGCCAGACACTGGAATACTTATAAATCTCCCAATTTCCATTTAACAAATATAGAAAATTAAGGTTCACAGTAGTGAATAACTTGCCTAAAGTCACACAGCTAATAAGTGTGTGACTGAGCAGTAATGTTCATCAAGTTCTCTTGACTCAAAATGCTCCCTTAAAATGAGTTTACTTTGAAATTAGCCCGCATCCTTGCCAGTTATCTGTTGTTGTGTAACAACCCCCCCCCAAAAAAAAAAATTAGTAGTTTAAAATAGTTTATGATGAACCCTCATGGTTCTGTGGGTCAACTAGGCGTAGCTGGTTGGTCCTCACACGGGGTCTCACATGTGGACACTGGAACATGGCAGCTGAGGCCGCAGTCACCTAGAGGCTCACATTACATACACTGCTAGCAGGTGGCACTGGCTGTAGGCAGAGCTCAGCGGGGCTGTCACCCAGAGCACGTTCATGTGGGCTCTCCCCGGGGTTCTGGCTTCCCCTCGCCTGGCAGCTGGATTCCACAGGGGCACGAGCCAAGAACAAGTGTTCTAGGAGGCCCAGGCTGGAACCACAGGCTCCTGGTGACTGAGCCTCGGAAGTCATGCTGCATCACTTCCACTTCGTCCTACTGGTCGAAAACAAGTTTCAGAGCCAGCCCACGTTCAAGGAGAGGGGCTACACAAAGGTGTGCACACTGGGACGCATGGCTCATTCAGACGTCATCTCTGACCACCAGCTCCACCCCATAATGCATTATGCATTATTTTAAATTTCTTCCTTGTACTACTCTAAATTTTCTATAATATATGTATTATTTTGTAATAACAGAAATAAATTATTTAAAACTTAAGTTTGTGGATTTTTCCAATTTATTTAAACTAAAAAACAAACAGATCACCCATTTTTCACATCTCTGGCAACCACCAATCTGTTCTCTGTATCAATGAGTATGATTATGTATATGTGTGTGTGTGTGTGTGTGTGTATTAGATTCAACGTATAATAAAGATCATACGTTGTCTTTCTCTGTCTGACTTAGTTCACTTACCATAATGCCCTCAAAGTCCATCCATGTTATTGCAAATTTTGATGTGTGTTTTTTAAATAAAATTAAGGCAATAATAGTTCTTTTGTGTGTGTGTGTTTGTCATGTCCTTTCAAAAGTAATATCAAGAAACCCATTTATAATGGTTTCTAAATTCAAACATCTGGGAATAAATGGTCTAAACACTCCCCAAGGTCCTTCTGAATATAAAAACCAATTATCCTTTATAGGTCTTACCCAAGATCTAGGATATCCTAATTTTACAGTTTGAAGCACAGGGCATCTCTAAATGGGTTATCAGTTAAAAACATTAATCCCAAAGCCCTTCCATTGGCTACTTCTGAAATTGCAAATATGTGTGTTATAAGGTTTGTTTACCCCCTATAGGGCAGGGTAGTTCATTTTAAAATATGCTCCTGTACTTAGAGAAGTAGAATGTCAGGCAGAGTTTAGTTAAGTTTTGTGGTATCTCTGTTTTCTTCATGAACAAT